CAACGAGCGGCAGGTAATATGGTGTACCCAAGTGGATACCGTTTCATACTGCCTGTCTGTACTGAAACTGTTCTCCACTGTTCTTTACTACCAAACAACCCATGCTGTTGCTAACCACTTCATAGTGTGTGCCTGTCTTTTACACGGATTAAATTGAGTTCGAAATTTTTCCAGTGCACGCAATTCACTCACCTTATAATGTTGCAACACAGTCCAATGGTAAGCGAGAGCGAAATGAGCTCAGATAGTCTTTGACGGTGTCGACAACGAGTCTTCGGCGGTGTCGACAACAAAGATCAGTACAACGGCAATGTATTACGTGCATGATCTATGGCATACTTCTGTCACTACTATTTAAACCTTGCAAAGCCATGCGCACCTTTTTGCAGTATTCCAACCGAGCCCAGTCTGTGGGGCAGCCTGTGCCTAGCACCTTAGCGGGATGACTTCTCCGAAACGTGTCGAATGTCGGTGGTGGTACTCTATTATTTGGAGATTTATTGAGAGCATAGTTGCCGTGGTTTTCGTTTTTGACGAAAGCTTTAGTAGCTAAGCCGTACTGGACTGTAAAGCGTTGAGGATTACAACCAGGCAGCATTAGTTTACTTCTGCACTGCTGTTCATCACAAATGTTGATTCGTATATTTTTCGCAAAGCTCTGAAAACCTGACTCCAGGCCCTGACCCGCTTTCAGAGCAAAAGGCATGCACTCCGTGGGATCTGCTCCACAAGGTCAAATTTCGCTGGCATTCCTTTCTTGGAATCCATGGTTGGCCGGCTTTCAGTTCTTCTCGACCTATCACGAGATCAAGCCGACCTGTCGCACGATCGAGCCGACCCGTCGCGGGATCGAGCCGACCTATCGCGGGATCGAGCCCTATCGCGGGATCGAGCCGACCTGTCGCGGGATCGAGACGACCCGTCGCGGGATCGAGCCGACCTGTCAGGGGATCGAGCCGACCTGTTGCGGGATCGAGCCGACCTATCGCGGGATCGAGCCGACCTGTCAGGGGATCGAGCCGATTCTAATGAGATGGGCAGTGGCGCAATGTCACATTTATTCTATGTTTTCGAATGTCACTTTGCCAGAAGAGATAATATGCAATCAAATAACTACACACCTGCGAAAGTTCGTTGATCTCGTTCCCTTTGCTGCGCTCGTAAACATTGCGCTGCCGTCAAAGATCTGGTGTCTGCTGCGCCAAAAAAGCTTAGCACAAATATATTTCCGACCAATGTTGCCCATTTCAACGTTCTGTGACTTCTATCTTCTTTCATGAGCGATACATTGAGACAAGACGCATGAAACATTTCATTCAGCCGCATTATATTACCACTCATAAGGTACGTATCATGGTGACAACCAGTACTGATTCAATAAGATAGTCAGCTGAGAGGCCGGGGCAGGCTGTCGCGGATCACCGTCAGCACTTAATGTCCCATCTAAGGTGTGATGTAGTTTGGGTAACCTAATGTAGTTTGCATAACAAGATAGTGCGACACTCACGAAAACGATGTCGCGCTCCTTATTTCACTCGGGACGGCTCAGTCATACGATTATACTATACGGAGCATGCGTGGAATTTTCATAAACAAATCCAAGATGCCCTTTAAAGAGGTTTGTGTGTATAGTGTGGATGCGATTACGAGGAACTAAATGTGGTTGGGAAGAAAGGACTGAATGACACAATTCTTGTTTCTGGTAGCAAAGAATTACAATTTTGAAAAAGAGGTTGTATCATTAAGCAGCGTTAAAACGCAGGGTTATACTGGACTATCAAAGGAAATTTTCGAAGCCTGATCTTCCCCAACAATTGCCGTGATGACTTATCAGATTCTGGACAAGCAGACATTTCAGTATTTTGGGAACTTCGTTTTTATGAAACCAATTTCTCGAACTAAAAATCCGTAGATTTTTGGCGTAAATGGTAATTCCTTGCGTAAAACCATATAAACCGAGGAAAACCCGTGAAAATAGTTCAGTACAGTAAAAGCCAAGTCCAGTTACATTGAAGTCCAGTATAATCTGTGAGAGCTAAGGCAGACGAACATTTCCATGAATCGTTAGGAAATCCGCACGTCGTTACGAAATCAAAACCGCGCGTACACGTAGCGTGGAAGAGCGACAATAAGCCTAAACATGTTTCAGGCGAAGCCGTCAATTTCAAAGCCTGAACGCCCGAGAAGCAATAGGTGTCATTTTTGCAAGTATGTGTTTTAAGGGGTTTGCGCGCAAAAAACGTGGTTTACAAATTTAAGTGCAAATTGTGTGAAAAACATAGTAGGTACGTAGTCTGTGCTCGGGAGTCCATGCGCCCTATTCAACGAAGCTATGATAAACACCTGCGAGACGCCAAAAACAAAGCAGAAAATACCCCATTCGTCGACCATTTTTTACAAAGCACGCTCAGTCTCAAATCCGGGGAGGTATGGACCCTTTACCCCTTTCAGAGCTTAAAGTCATCTACAGAGCACAGGACCGTTCAGACAGGGAAATGAGCAAATTTATTCTGATGAGAGAAGTTGGCGACCAGACCTTTACGTACAGGGCTCATCTTGACCGATTATGCGAATGTGATTAGTGCCTTGATGTCTGATGCATGTTAGCTTAAAATTGCTTTCATGTATGACTGATGTCTGAAGCGCGATGCGCGATGCCTGTTTAATTGAAATATTTTGCGTATACACGCATATTTCGCGTATCTTAACTCTCAGTTAGATGTGCATTGTATTATAGAAATGGCTTGAAATTGCTCCTATTTTAATACCCCTGAACGGTGGTGACCTGTAACAACTGTGGCTCGCTGTTTAAAAACCAAACTTGAGACACCGGGTAGGGTCAGCAGTCAATTTTGAATTTACTACTGATATTCCTCTTGATAAAGTCATGTAGCCAAGATATGACGTCTGTCCATCCATTCTCCCTGTTAATCTACGAGGAATAAGGCTATGCATAATGCCATCTACAAACTGACCTTAGGATTGCTTACTCATTGAAAGGCAAACTACTCTGAGTGGGAAACCTAAACAGCACGAAACAGCTGCAAAAAACATACGAGAGCGTAGCACTGAGGTGTGAGCGGAAATAGTGACAGTTCAAACCACTCAGACAGGCAGCATTAGTTAGGGCATGTCAAGACCAGAACATAAGGCAAGACTGCCTGGTAAAGCAGCTTTTTTTGCAAAAAACATCGAACAATATCTCACTTGAGATAATTTGCGTGGCGATCACAACGCATGTCATAGTGCATAATGTTCATATATGTTGCATCTAAGACACTTTCAAAGTGCAATATCGGCGGTGTCATAGCGCTCAGTGTCTACCTTAGGCAAAAGCAGAATAGTCTGCAATAAATGTTGTTAAAAAGCTTAGCATTACACATTGATTGTGCTCTAAAATTGCCTGCATTTGGATAACACTATTGCATACCGCTTGTGCATCACCACACCGTAATGCAACAGCCTGCCCACATCAAAATCATACAATAGATACCTGTTTCCAATGATAAGTCATATAGAGGAACCCTGTTCGCAATAGTGGTAAAATAGTAAATGCATTGTTCCCATGCGGTAGTGTTCAGCCGCAGCGAATATTACGCATGATTCCTTAGATGTCATTTTGTCACATAAACTGCCTTGTATCCGGACTGACGTCTGGCACATGTGCTTCAGGTCCTACAAATCCACGCGAACCTATTCATTTACTACACATATATATATATATATATATATATATATATATATATATATATATATTATTGTTCGCGATCTGCACCGAATACCGCACCGACGCTAGGCACACACATACTATAAGTCCTACAGGCCCATGCCGGCCTAAAATGTATCGACCATGAACAATAGCTGTGCGATCAACAGCAATACCCCGAACTATAAAAACAAATGTCTAACAAAGGTAGACCTAGAACAATAGTCGTCAACCGTTATCTTTATCTACTTAATAATCTAATAACTGTGCATACATATTTCCAAAGTTTTCAACATTGTTTTACTAGTGTGACGTTCATTGAACATCTCCCAAACAATGACCCGACCCTGCTGACACGTATGGCAAACATGTCGCTGGACAGACAATATAATTCTGGTACATGTGAATATGCTGACAACTGACGAATAATCAAAATATCTCAGGTCAGATATTATAATTCTGTAAGATTCTTACCAATTAAACGTCTAAGTATATACGGTGTGGTTGATACGACCAAACTTTATATCAGATTACGTTCCAAAATGGCAAGGGATTTGTGAGCATGACCAATCGGCGTGTTAAGAAACCTTTTCCTTCATTACGTCAGGCCTAGACAGCGTGCAACTCAATGTCTTATCTACTCGCAGCACTCAGCTTCTAACTTCCGAAGGACGTTTCTCTTTGGATGACTTGAATGCTTAAGTCGAGTGGGATGAGCTCGTCACGGCTTAAAGCTCAAACTTGGAGACGGCTTAATGAAGCTTAAGGCTAATGAATTTAAGTGGTTTGAACTCGCCGCCGCCGCCGCCGCCGCCGCAAGCCAACTTCAGTCCACAAGAGAAACCTAACACACACGGAAATATGGAACTGAATGGCTGCTTTGGTCAAACACGCCAGACATTTTGGGAACATATTCCGATGACTGGCCCTGAGGATGCAAGCCGACGATAAGTTTTTGAAATGGTTCGGTGACCTGTTTCGAGTTTCAACTTCAAGTCGTCCCCGACATCCACCAGAACCACTCGTCTGCGAACGTGGGTGAGGGTACGACGAACCACCTAGTAACCCACAGCACACCCCGACACCGATCCTCTCGAGATCGACGCCAATCCCTTCATTCTGCGGCGGCCGAGTTTCGACAGACTGGTCCGGAAACAGCGCCGCGCCATTCCTTCAGCCTCGCGCCAAGACGGCAAGCGGCCAGGACGACGCAGCGTCAGCAACGACCAAATTACAAACTGAACTGCACAGTTAAGTGCGCGCCGGTCGCCAGGCGCGGCCGCGGCCGACTGACTTGTGGCCCAGCTCGTGGGCGATGGTGTACGAGACGGCGAGGCCCGTGTCCTGGTTGATGTTGCAGCTGCGGGTGGGCTGGCACATGCCCGACACCTCGGCCAGGCCCAGCGTGCTGCACGTCTCGTTCTCGCCGCAGATGTTCCGTCTGGAGGTGGCGGGCAGCCGGTCGGTCGAGAATGCGTACAATGCACGGACGATGACATGTTACACAACATGAGTCGGGAAGGTTTCGTTTCTTAAGTCGAATGCTGGATGTCCGATACAAGGTACAGATTATTTCCAATGCAGATGCCATATCTTGCTAAGTTTGGAGCCTTTTGCCAGCGAAGCGCAGACGCAGGGCGTCTGGCTTGAACAATAAACGCACTCTCAACGTAAAAGGGCAGCTCTGGCCCGGTCACCACGCTCCATAGGACGTAGTGCGGTGTGAACCATTACACACATCTGCGGACTGTTTCCAACAGCATGAAGCGCGACTATTCCAGGCGTGGTCGCCCTCCAGTTTTTTGAGATCTCAGCAAACTTAACTAACGCAGTTGCAATCGCTTAACCCGTTCGACTGCCTCGAAAACAAAGAATTTACCGATTGCGAAAGCCCTGAAAATCACTTTACGAAACTGCAAGGTCAACACATTTTGAATAAGAGAACGAAATCGTACTGGTAAAAGAGTGGGCGAACCTGTGTAGGCGGTCACATACTTTCGAGTGTAAACCCGTGGATCGGCCGGTTTTGAGTGCTTTTTTTTTAGAAGCCTAACGGTTCTATCCTGAAAATATTGCTATCGTGGCAGCCAGATCAATAGCGACACGACACCAGAGGTAATGCTTCGATGAATGTGCCGTGTACAAATCTCTAGGCGATTGCAGCCCTTTGCGGTTCGTGGCGAAGTGTCGTCCACCGGGGAGCGATCGATGCAACTTTTACCCGAAATCGGTGTGGCCTTTAAAGAGAGCAAGAGCACGAGTAAGAGCAAGACAGAGCAAGAGCAAGAGCAAGAGCAAGAGCAAGAGCAAGAGCAAGAGCAAGAGCAAGAGCAAGAAGCAAGAGCAAGAGCAAGAGCAAGAGCAAGAGCAAGAGCAAGAGCCAGAGCAAGAGCAAGAGCAAGAGCAAGAAGAGCAAGAGCAAGAGCAAGAGCAAGAGCAAGAGCAAGGGCAAGGGCAAGGGCAAGGGCAAGGGCAAGGGCAAAGAGCAGGCAAGAGCAAGAGCAGAGCAAGAGCAAGAGCAAGAGCAAGAGCAAGAGCAAGAGCAAGAGCAAGAGCAAGAGGCAAGAGCAAGAGCAAAGAGCAGAGCAAGAGCAAGAGCAAGAGCAAGAGCAAGAGCAAGAGCAAGAGCAAGAGCAAGAGCAAGAGGCAAGAGCAGAGCAAGAGCAAGAGCAAGAGCAAGAGCAAGAGCAAGAGCAAGAGCAAGAGCCAAGAGCAAGAGCAAGCAAGAGCAAGAGCAAGAGCAAGAGCAAGAGCAAGAGCAAGAGCAAGAGCAAGAGCAAGAGCAAGAGCAAGAGCAGAGCAAGAGCAAGAGCAAGAGCAAGAGCAAGAGCGAGCAAGAGCAAGCAGAGCAAGAGCAAAGCAGATCAAGAGCAAGAGCAAGAAGCAAGAGCAAGAGCAAGAGCAAGAGCAAGAGCAAGAGCAAGCAAGAGCAGAGCAAGACCAAGAGAGAGCAAAGAGCAAGAGCAGAGCAAGAGCAAGAGGAAGAGCAAGAGAAGAGCAAGAGCAAGAGCAAAGCAAGGCAAGAGCAAGAGCAAGAGCAGAGCAAGAGAGCAAGAGCAAGAGCAAAGCAGAGCAAGAGCAAGAGCAAGAGCAGAGCAAGAGCAAGAGCAGAGCAAGAGCAAGAGAAGAGAGAGAGAGAGAGAGAGAGAGAAGAGAGAGAGAGAGAGAGAGAGAGAGAGAGAGAGAGAGAGAGAGAGAGAGAGAGAGAGCCGTGCCACCGAAAAAGTAGGCCAGAAGAAATTCAGCGACGTCGATGGTTTAGAAATGCTAGACAAACGAGGCAAAAGTTAGAAAAATGTTCAGGCAAATCATTTACAGTTTTGCACGCATATGTTGTGCATCAGTGCACCTAATACAGCTCAGCTCTGGAAAGGGGATCTTCAGAGCATCGAGAATGCCCTTTTGGGGAAAAGCGTATTGCTCCATTCGCGTATGCACTGGCATTATGCACATTACGCCACAGCAGAACGCATCAATCCACCTGGTGGCTTGCACTCTCGTCTATTATCACCTCGTTCGTCCCCCGTCGCAAAAAGCGTCTTTCTGGTAGAGTTACGTCTTTGAAATGAGCCTGAATCCAGTGAAACTGCATGGGTTCAATGCAGTTGCGCGCCGCTGTACATCCGTTAAAAATACAGGAGGGGGGTGAGACAGCACATATAACTGTTGACACCCAACGACGGCCAACAATAGACATTGTCAAGAGCCTTATCACGGGACAGGGCGGCTTTAATAACAGAAGACAGACCGACCCTGGCACCTGTTGCAAGCCTCTCACCTGGTAAGCAGGACGGCCACATCATGATGATTGGGATGGCTCTCGTTGGAGGGGTTCATTTTGATTTGCCAGCTACAGAAGCTCTTCAGAGAACTGTCAGCGTTCTCACTGATGTTAAAATGCAACTGAAAGCGGTCTCCGGCGCTGTGAGCTCAGCCAAGAGGCACAAGTGACAGCGAGTTATTACTGCTCTGGGGGTGAGGGGGGCACGGGGCGACGGGTCCACGGCAGGGCGCATCAGTCTAGCTGGTGGCTCAGGCGTCGCCACTTCCTTTGAACTATGAACACAATTTCCGAAATGGTGGCCGGTTCTGAGGATACGTGCTGAACATTTGACATTTCCAGAAGTGGCTGTCATGAAACCCGACAACTGTCGTCTTTCCTTTACATTTTCACAACATCGATCACCACTATACCGGATTTACTTTCATGTCCACCACGCCCCGCTTACTATGCAAACTCACAAACATTTCGCTTGCTCAGCAAGCGGTGTCCAAAACATACCGTCGTATTCTCGATGGATTCCAGGATCAGTATCCGGACCAGGATGACATTTATGGCGTTGCCGATACTTGCATCGTGGTATAATTGTGCTACCTGGAATAGAGAAGTCAATGGTTGCGAGTATCTACTCGCCTTGCATATGCCTTCAAACCTCATACTTCACAACCAAAGTAGTGAGGGGCGCTCTTTGCACGCATTTGCCTCATCAGAATTTGTGAATGACGACCACTCGGAAAAGACGCCAGTTCATCACATGGTTCTTGAACAAGGCCATCAATGCGGTTGAACAGTGCCTGGGGGTGACGGCGGCCGATGATGCCCGGTACCCCACCAGGCGCGTGCGCCGTTTTGGACTGGAGTACCTCCGGTTCGGAACACCTCCAGCTACAATCGCGCAATCTGGCCCACTTGGTGGTAAAGGTGTGCATGGCCACCAAAGCTGAAGGTGGCAGCGGCTCGATACGCGCATGAGGCGCTCACGCACGGTGTAGCCCCCCTGATTGATGTGGTTCATACCTCACACTTCGGCTGTGTGCTGCTCACGTTCCTGGCGCAACACGATAACATGGTGACGGAACAACCCAACCAGGCGCGCTTCATCCGCTCAGGTTGCTACCAAGGTCGTGATTAGGTACAACTTACTTGTACGTGTGTGCAAGGAAGTCGTACCACATATGAGAGTGGGCGTTCTGGGCTCTTGGACAATTTGGACCCGGTCGAGAAGCTCGTCAAGGATACGCTTGTTCGGGGCGAAGATCAGGTACTGCACCCCCGGACTTGGCTCCTTACCCATTCGGCGGGCTAGAGGCCGAGCGTTGGTCGAGTTCTTGGCTTTACAGGATAGCGGAGTGACAGCGCAACATACCCAAGCAGGCTCCATTCCGTACGCGGTGTTAATGTGCCCACACCGCATGCTCAAACAACGTGCGTCCCTATGGCACTGGCTTTGAACGGTTAGCAACAGCACATGACACGTGGTGCGCCAGTCCTGCAGTTGATTTGAATGACATCCATATGCATGCTGTCCCCCGTGCCGCTCGGCCTGAAGGTCAAGACCTGCACTTGCGCTCTCATGCCCTTGGAGGCTCTTGCCGCGAACGTAAGGGGTAGGAACAACCAAACACGGTACATTGTTTGTGTGAGTTTTTAAAGGTAAATTTCGTCACGACAGTCTAATTGAAAGCATGTCTGGGATCACAGCCACGCTAAGCATGGATTTTTGTGTAAACCCCGACACCACCAACCGGCCATCTAGCTAAACGATACCTATTTGAGGCCAAAAACTGAACGTGTCGCAATACCCGGCATATTTCTATCCTCCCACCGAACTCATCTGACCTTGAGCGGCCCCTGCCATCGACCGCAGACCATCTTAACCAGGAGCACATATTGAGCGACGAAGCGTATCGAATCCACACCTTCCGCCACGGATATGTTGAGCGAGATATGTTTTCACCGATAAAGCTACGGGTAGCGTACATAGAAGCAAACTGATATCTTCCAAGCACATACAAGCATAAGGGCAGGCACAGTTTGGCGGGATCGCTACAACAGTTGCGTGCGATGTGCGCAAAATCGTTTTGAGTGCTGTGTATTGGCCATTGAACGGCTGATGTCCCACTCATGAAACATGGCACACTGAGTCCTTTGAGAATATGCGCCCCGTTGATGTACCTGCTTCGTATGCGTGCGGTCAACAGCAGTTCGGCACTTGAACATATAAGCTCGCCTCGCCCCTTCCCTCCCCCCCCCCCCCCCCCCACAAGCACTGCGTGAAACATAACGGCAAGAGGAGGACCTAGAGCTCCGAAATTTGATACACCTTATAGAGTTTTCAGCTGATATTCGGGTTCGCACCATTTTCTGGCGCAGGTGAGGTGGGTGACCCGTGGCGTGTATGTTTACCATTGTGACCATCCGTCTATCTTCTATCTACCTCCATCTACATCTACATTTACCTCCTATCGCCGTATTTCACATTCGGACATGACCTTTACTTCCACAGGGATATTTATTGGGTCAAATGGAAGGCTTCAATGCCACACATGCCTGATGCCTGATGCGTTGAAATGCAGTCAGTGGCGTTGGCGCCAGCTGCGCGCGCAGACTCCCCCACCCCCTCTCGCCCAGGGCCTGACTACGCCGATGACGAATGGACTAGGGTAGCGACAGCACTGACATATTTACAGCCGAAAATTTATGCAAGCAGCACTCACGCCCCTCATGCTCATCACATTTAGGCAAAATTTAAACCGAGCAAATCAGGCTATTGTTCCACCCCACTCGAAACAGCCACTTTGTCCCCGAGATGACGGCATCGAGATAGTTCATCATGCGCAAAGTCGGTTGCTTATTGGACACCCCACTAAGTCATCCTGAGTGTAGAACAGCCATTGCTATGTGTGGGGGGCGAGGGTCGGAGGAGGGTCGGACCCTGACTAACCCCATTCATGATGGTGAGCAGGTACGTCTCGATGTCGTCGTCTGCGTAGAACTGCACCACGTCCGGGTCGGCAACGATCAGCGTCTCGACGTTCCTCTCCGCGCTGACGGAGCGCGGCCGGCGGCGTGACCTGGCGTCTGACCTCCTGACCCGGCCCCACGACCTACCCCGGAGCGGGTCGTCGCGCGGCCGGCGCGTCCGTGCCCGGCCGGAAAGCGCGGGAAGCGGCGGCGGCCCTGTAGGTGGCAGCACCGTCAAACCACGGGGTGACGCTGTGAGCGGATGTTTCTCCGCCGGTGAATGAGCCGCGTGCAAGGCGATGGCCATTTTTGCAACAGAATAGAGCACGTCAGAGAGAGTTACACCCGAACATCAGGAACGACTTAGAAATGAGACGGAAATGTTCTTCCCGTGTCACCCTGAGTGTGGTAGTTTAATTTGCCTCCGTCATTGCCAGCCAGCCTCACTCGTGAACAGCATGACCACCAACGATGACTCGCATCGATGAATCCTTACACCCTGTTCTTCCAGGACGTAGGTTCTTGCCATCATTTTACACATTTTCATACCTGGCTCCATACGTGTGCACATTTGCAAGTACATTTACCGCTTTTAGACTGAAACTACGGCATGCTGGTGCCCCAGCGACCGGCAGTTTAGAACATCGACGCCCCGGCACACGTCATCATACAACAGTACAAACCACAGGAACGCAATCAAAACGACCAGCACCAGGGTCAAGATTCTCCGTCAGACCGTCTGTCGCGCTCACCGCCGCTGGGATGGGGCGGGCGGCCCGACGCACGGGAAGCGCCGCTGTGATCCATGGCCGGGGGCCTGTACACCAGGTGCGCCGCCGGCCGGCCCCCGGCGCGCTGGTGACCTTTGACCGGCTCCACGATGTACTGGTGCTGGCCGGTGTGAATGTAGCCCAACTGCGGCAGCGGTGCACGGCAGCGTCAGTGGCTGGATGGGGGGCGGCGCCGCGGGTGGCAACCGCAGCAACCGCGGATGTGTCGGCGGCGCCCGACCAGTCGGCGGGAACGATCGCACAGAAGCGGCGCCGACAGATCGTTCCACGGTTAAGGAGCGGGTTTCTGTGGACGCCGAACACGCGACAGCCGACAAATAGTGCAAATGGAACGGAAGTGGTTCTATGAGAACCCAGCCAGCAGAGGAAAGCCCGGCACGGTGGCTTTTAACCATCCCTCTGCGCGGTAACTGCTGCCGTCATTTAACACCGCTATCTCTCACACAGATTGGAGAGGGGAATCGAGATATAGCCGACAGCGTGCATCGAACCCATGACCTCGCCGTTGTAAAGAAGGCCTTCATCACCGTGACAGTAACCTCCACCCCACCCCACCCCATCGCGCCCCATCTGGCGGTTAGCGCGTTTGAACAAACCCAGACGGTCCTATCTCAATTTTGCCGCGGTTGTGCAGGTACTTCGCCGGGAAAGCTGGGTACACGGCCTCATTGGAAGGCTTCTGCAGCCAAGCACAGTGATTGGCAGTATTTCACAGTGTAAAGGACAGCAATTCCGTCTCACACACGCTTTTTGAAAACCGCCGAGGGTGTGAGAACGTAACGTATATTGCTACAGTGAATCATTGGGCTAATAATTATCAGTAGCGGGCCAGGATATAGGTAGTTAACCATTGACTGCTCACAAACAGCACAAGCCTTCTTAAAAGGGCATGCAAAATGGATACACTACAGCCTCCTGCCCCCACCTACAGCTGGTTCTGCCTCACAGACGTTTATCTTGGTATGGTGTACTTTCTTGTGCCAGATACCACAGTGTTGGTCAGAAGCAGGTCCGACTGTGGTGTGGCCGGTGACAGGCAGCACCGAACCAACCCAGGCCAGATCCTACCGTACAAAGCCAGTCCAGGCCACTCCTGACCAGCCCAAGCGTGGGATCCACGGCCCCAGCCGCGGCTGCAGGTCTTTCCGTAGCAGCCTCAGCCGCAGCCGCCAGCGTACCAGGCCGCGGCAGGTGGAGAGGGCGGCCCGGGAGTGCGGCCGACCGCGCAGGCGGCCCTGCAGCAGGCAGTGGCGGCGTGGCCGACGCACCGAGCCCGGCCGGCCGGCCGACGCTCGCCGCTCCACCACGAAGCCGGGCGCCAGCAGGCGCCGGTTGGGCCGCAGGTCCAGCACCACCTCCTCGCCGTGCGCCAGCTGCAGGCGGTAGTGGGCGGCCGCGTCACGGCGCAGGCCGCGCCGCCGCCGCCGGCCGCCGCGCCAGCCCCCGCTGACGTCATAGGAGTGGCGCACGTCGTGCGAGAGGTGCGCACCGTTGCGCCGCACGCGCTCCGGGTACGTGACGTGGTACGCGGCGAGGGACTCGACCATCCTGGCTGCAAAGGGAACGACGGGTGACGGCGGCTGGACACGCAGCTCGTCGGAGCGGCTCAGGCTAATGACGACATGGTGGAGGTGCTGGGACGGCAGCGTCTTTGGGGGGGGGGGGGGGGAGAGAGACACAGCAATGCTACGCTTCTCTTTCGGAACCAATGCTTTGCAACGCAGTGATATGGACCTGTCGGCACAGGCGTTTGTTCATAGCATGCACATTTTGTTCCCATTTCGGATGGTCTGTCACGGACCAGATTCGCTTGAAAGGTTGCAGGCTTATTTAAAGGCTTCTCGCTGATGCATGCAGGCGCATATCTTGTGTGCCCTCGTGCTCACATGCGCATGAGAGAAAAAGAGAGCCAAACGCACGCACGCACGCACGCGCGCACGCGCACACATACGCATACACATACAGTTACGTATCCCACGCATGCCTTTACAATTATCAAGCGAAAGGGTAAGACTACGTGCGAAGTTTCTTGCAACCTTTCCAGCCATTCTAGGCAAAATGCAGGAGCAAAGCAAACGGGTGGGTACCGAGTGGGCACCATTCACCAGGGGTGAGTAGCTAGTCGCTAAAGGCGCAGCACCATGCGTAGCGAATGGATTTGGTCAGGAGAATCAACCCCGTGAAGGCCTCTGGTGCCTATCTGAAACTAATGGGCTTCATCTGAAGGAATCAAAACCCTTCAATGATTCGTATCGGCTTAGGTCTTATCGCAAGATAACCAAAATGGAGGCAAGAAGGCAGCCAATGGCAGACGGGTGCGGTTCGGTCTCACGACAGGCAGTAGCAATTCGCTTCTAGCTTTCAGGAGCATTTGCTTTTTGATTGGATCGTGCAGGCAGGTACAGATTATTGATGGAATAGTAGAGCACGCAAGAGTACTACCATGAATCCATATCACGCAAAGCGAGTGCGAACCGAGTATGCAAACAGCCGCAAATATCGCGACACATACTCCTATAAATGCATTATTAGTACAGCATATCTATGCATGCGATCTTACATCCTTACTTAAATAAATATGTAATCACGCAAATGTTGATATATATATATATATATATATATATATATATATATATATATATATATATATATATATATATATGCTTGCGATTATATATGACGCATTCGGGGTAGCTTTGTCTAGCTTCCTCCAGCCGAATGATGCTGAATCTCCCAATATCTTGGACATTTGCAGCTTGTGTCAAATTTGCCTTCAAACAACATGATTCACTCATGTATGACAAAGTAGTATGAGAACCGGTGTAAAATCGAAATTGTCATCGTCCGAGATGCAGGTTTTTTTTCTTTGAGAAGAGGGGCTACGTCGTGTGCCAAATTTTCTCGACTAGCATGTCTTCACTTTTCGGTATCTGGAATCAGCGTCACCTCATCAAATATAGCGCAGGGGACGATGTCCACATTGTACCAATTTGGTTTTGTCTTTTTCGCTGTGGTTTTATGACTAGTTTTTTTGTGTTTTTCAAGGTTTCAGTCCTCTCAACGGTTAAAAACACAAACAAACTAGTCATAGAACCACAGCGAAAAAGACAAAACCAAATCGGTACAATGTGGACATCGTCCCCTGCGATAGATTTGATGAGGTAACGCTGATTCCAGATACCCAAAAGTGAAGACATGCTAGTCGAGAAAATTGGGCACACGACCTAGCCCTCTTCTCAAAGAAAAAAAACCTGCACCTCGGACGATGACAATTTCGGTTTTAGGCCGGTTCTCATATTACTTTGTCATACATCAGTGAATCATGTTGTTTGAAGGCAAATTTGACACAAGTTGCAAATGTCCAAGACATTGGGAGATTTGGCACCATTCGACTGAAGGAAGCTAGACAAATCTACCTCGAATGCGTCACCTGCTAGAACCTGGCCGGTTTCACGCGATGCGACTCGCTGTCTTCTACCAAGTATTTTCATCTAACCAAAAACAATCCCCATACACGCGACTCACTAGCGCCAAGACACTGCGCTGAACAAAGACAGCCAGACAGCGGCGACGTGCAGGGGCATGGGCCAACGGAGGCCTGCCTCACAGACGCATCGCACACAATCGATACCGCTCGGCGGCAACGGGGCAGCCCAGGCGCCGGCTATCACTGCCCATAGGAACGTCCCATAAGACCGAGCGTCAGAACGTCCCGTTGAGTGGAGCGTCAGGATGTCCTAGTGAAAAGAGCGTCAGAAGATCCCATTGGATAAAGCGTCAGAGTGTTCCGTGGATGGACGTCAAACAGTCTCGTTGGATAGAGCATAGGAGTGTCCCACTGGACAGAGCGTCAGAGCATCCGTTGGATAGAGCGTCAGAATATTCCGCTACGTAGAGCGTCAGAGCGTCCCGTAGATTGACGCCAGACAGCCCCGTTGGACACAGCGCGAAAGAATCCCGTTCGATAGGGCGTCAGAGCGTTCAGCTGGATGCAGCGTCAGAGCGTCCCGTAGATTGACGCCAGACAGCCCCGTTGGACACAGCGCGAAAGAATCCCGTTCGATAGAGCGTCAGAGCGTTCAGCTGGATGCAGCGTCAGAGCGTTCAGCTGGATGCAGCGTCAGAGCGTTCAGCTGGATGCAGCGTCAGAGCGTTCAGCTGGATGCAGCGTCAGAGCGTTCAGCTGGATGCAGCGTCAGAGCGTTCAGCTGGATGCAGCGCCAGAGCGTCCCGTTGGATGCAGTGTCAGGGCGTTTTGTTGGATTGAGTGGCAGAGCGTTTCGTTGGATAGCCATGCCATGCGATTCGCCTGGACCTGTTTAAATTACAATGCCCTAAAAGGAAAGCATGTTAGGTGATCACTTATGATCCGTGATGATTCAGACCGTCAGGTGTGTTCCACTTTGCATGTTTTTTCAATATTTGCTTCTACTAAGTTGTTTAATGAGTTTGCACATGCATGGCCAAACCCGCAGCCGGATGACTACGACCGGGTAAAGCCACAGGGCTACCAAGTGGCTGGGAACGTGCACGCGGAAACGAAATTTATCGTGCTGGCTAAAGTCTGCGTTCGTTATTAGACCACGGCACCAAAACTTCGCTGTCAGCCACCGTGATAATGCATGCATTTGAGCTGGGGCGTGCCTATTTTTATACACAAAATTCGCGTGAGAGCGTCCCACGTAACCCACCCACCGGAAATACAGTTTGGCAAGCATCAGCGGAGTAGAACAACTGGTCGTTTATTTCATATCTGCGCATTATGTAGTAGGTACATTAAGCGAATCAAATGTAGCCTTATCCGCTCAATTATTCAGTTTAGTTTAGTTTACATGAAATATTGAATGAAATTATTTGTAGTGTTCCGCGTGGGTCGCGGAGCACAGCATGGAGCAACGACAACTTCGGAGCTAGCAACACAATATTCACATAAAACATATTTGATTGTCCGTGAACATACGCTTATAACCACTCGTAATCATTACCATAGCTTTGAAAGTCGAGTGTTCATAAATTAACTAATATTTTCTTTATAACGTCCAGTACCTCCTGGTATAATGAATGTGTCAGCAAAAGCAGAATGACTATTAACCCATAAAGCCGAAAAGCCAGGAACCTATGGCTTTTCTTGCCTAATGATGTACCATAAAGACTATGCGAGCATGGCATAGGATAAATGCCATCGCAAAGAAATATCGAGTCCGCCAGCAGAAGCTAGCATGAAAACAAAACCCGCTCCTCTTGATGTCCATGCAACTGATGTTACGTATCCAGCCTGGGTTGAAACCAATCACTGGCTGGTCGAGCGTGACTGAAATTTCTTCATTCCGTGGCAAACCACTAACTAGCCAGCTCAGCAACTTGACACAGGAAATATGTAAGATTGGGCAGTGCCTCATACCCAACCGCTCACTGAAAAGATAAGCATGCAACGCAACATGCTATGCGCATGCAGTGTACACACATTGAAAACAAGCGTGTGAGCCGCGGCTGGAGAGTACTGGCGAACTGGTTTGCATCAGTTCTACAGCGCCTATCTATGGTGCGCAGCTGGTCATAACAGAATAATCCGAAGCTGTGAAGCCTGCTGAGAAATACAACACGCCTTTGTTCCAGATAAGCGTGCTCAGTTCTTGCGTCAGCTTGTTACCTTCCGGACAAAGATCTTTAAGGTACACAAATTACGGGACGACGCAACACAAAAGTGCGCTAACACAAGTAATGATCGGGTGCATCAGTTTCCTTGCGGGCAAAGAAACCGCACTTGTTTGTGCCGATGCCACAGACATGTCTAATGTTAGTTATCTGCACACTTCGTGGCTCTGTTTGACATCCATAAAGCACACTTATGTATATATCACAGCAAAACATCTAGTTTTGCCACGACAACTTACAGCCATGCTACTGGCTAGGAAGTTGGCGACCAGTGAACATCGTATGACAGTCCAAACATGTGGAATCAAGGGTCGTTACGTTCCTGAAGCACCCCGTGCAGCTAATCCCCATCGCGTGCTGGTGTCCCCTGCTCAGTGATAGCCGCGTGCAGAGGGGACGGTCGGGCTCCCCCCCCCCCCCCCCCACACACTTCGGTTGAGCGCACTGCCGGGCGCCCGCCCCGGCCGCGCCGCTCACAGCTCCGTGAGAGAGCTCCATGGCCGTCAGGGACGACCGGGAAACGAGGCCGTCTTCGAGGGAGCTTACAGAATGGCTAGCCGACCGCGCAATGGCTCAACATGAAGTTCGTCCACGGCAGGACTGACATTCGAGGGAACTTACAGAGTGGTCAGCCGACCACGCAATGGTTCGACATGAAGTCCGCCACCAACAGGACTGACTTGGTAGTTATGAAACTGAAATAAACTTTCGAACACCACTGTGCGCACCATTGGCGAGCAAGGTTCAGTACGCACCCGAATTACATGGTTATGTAAGACACTGGCTCTACTGCACCTGCGACCGCGTCTCTTCCAGCGAAACCTTTCAAACTAATGGCTCTGCCCAACAGTCAGTCAATGGACAATAACCCTGACCCGTCGCAAGCGCCAAG